TTCATATTCGCGCGATTTTTTGCGCAGCTCGTCCGTGAACAACGGCTCTGTGTAGTTAATGCTGTGAAATGTGAAAGCACGCAGGTGATGGAGATTTACCGCTGATTACAGAACCAGCTTTACTGATAAGATGCGCGTTAAATATCGCATGCGATTTATCGTGCAGCCCTATATTACATTAAAAAAAATCTTACTGATGATCACAACTGATACTTTTTTCATTCATTCATTAGACTGATTCAGACCGATAAGCTTTGAGATGGTGAGTTTTTCAGATTTGTTCAATAAATAAAAGTAATTTGTTCATTAACTGGGCTGTATGGTCATGCAGCATGTTTTTTTTTGTTACCAGCTAGTGTAGACAATGCAATAGAAAGATATTTTGTCTATTTAATGTCTTTGTGTTCATTTTATCTCATCACATTCAGACTACAAGCTAAAATGAGATTAAGTAGCAGCACTGCTGAATGGTGGTAAAACATGTAAAAAGTGATTGTACTTAGGGCTGGCTCGATACCACTTTTTCAGAACCGATACCGGGAAAACTTACAGATGGAGTCATTAGGGACGAACATGTTTGTTAGGGTGTGGGTGTGTAGGCAGTGAATGTCGCAGAGGGGTGGAAGCACGTGTTGTTGCCTCTGTTAGTGAATCACATGGGAAGGAGATCATCAGGTGATGTCATTATTTGGCATCTCGATTCCTGAAGTGGGCTGGTTTGGCCACGAGGTCAGGTGGACAGGTCAGTTGTGGTGGGGCGATGGCATCTGCGGGAAGGACAGGGGCTTAATGAAGCGAGTGGGGCGCTTTGCTGCTCGGCCGGTGGGGAAGCCGCAGCTGTTCGCCCCTCTGATCCCCACTGTGTGGCTGAGGGAGGAAGTACCCCACCGTGCCCATACTTACTCAATAATTGATCCTGTCAATCCTAGGCCCTAGGCCTCCCTCCAGTGAACAGGAGAGAGAGAAACAGAGGATGCAGTGGGAGGTGTTAAGGATCTCTTCATTTGCCTTAATCAGGTTTGGAAAATCACCTGATGAATGAGAGTTTTAAATTCAAATCAAATGAATCCTGTTTGCTTTCCTAAATCATGTTCCTGGTCTTATTGTGCCTGGTCTTATTATTCTAAAGAAAGAAAGTTTGCATTTTGCTTATTATTACTAAAGAAAGAAAGTTTGTGAAATGTTTCTTGAGCACCATATCAGCATATTAGAAGGATTAACGAAGGATCATGTGACACTGAAGCTCAGAATGCCAATGAGAGTTCACTGTGGGCTTCTCAGAATGATGACGCAGAAATAGAAACTATTTTTCCACGCATTTATTCTCTGTATATCTCCTAATCACTTTCTCTCTCTCTCATGCTCCAAGCTTTCATTGGATTGAAATGCAATTCATTCTTTTTGCTCATTGAAAAGCACTTTGAACTGTATCACATTCCACTGCCACTACTTGCACTGCTATTTTGAAATATATTCCAGCAAAATGTAGAAATAGACTGAGAGAGCTTGGAAAAGAGAGAATTTGCTAATAAAGTCGCTGATATATTTATATATAAATATATACTATAGTAGTCAACATTTGAAGTGGATCAAAACCTTTCATCAAAGTTGTCCTAAAACCAAAACAATACCCGTTCTTGTCTTAGGACAACTTTGATTAACTTTTTTGATCCACTTCAAATGTTGACTACTGTATAAATTAAAATACATTTCTTTTAAATGTATAGCAAAGTAATGAGGCAGCAACATATGATAGATAAGACGAACAAGAAAGGCTATTAATAATCTTTCACTGCGCAAAAGTATTATAATACTAAAGGTTCCAAATACAGAGCGGCACAAAGCGCGTATGCGCATCCCATGTGCAGATTTAGAAACAGCACGAAACTCCAGCAAGATAAATTCCTTTTATGAAAAACCATTTATCTTTATTTACAGATCAAGTATAACATTAGGAACATTTAATGATCCTGAAGAGAGTTTCATCATCTTGACTGTCATAACCGAATGCGACGCGCAGTTTGAATGCTGAATGGAGGATGACAGACAGCCGCAGCGGAGAGAAGAGTTTACGTGAACTTGACTTGAATATTCAGCTGTGCCTCACATTAAACTATGGAACAGCTTCAGAACACTTGAAATATAGTGCACGAAAACATTATTGTGCTTTATAATGTTTATGTGGCTTTCGTGGGGCTTAATAATAACACAGAATAGTATACGCACTATATCGGATTTGGATCGGTCTCATCTGACCGATACCCGATCCGGCAGAAAATGCCAGTATCGGAGCGATACCGATACTGAATATCGGATCGGCGCACCCCTAATTGTACTATTTATTAATTTCTGTAGAATATCTGTTGTGTATATGATGATGATTAATTTCATAATGTCTTTGTCGTTGTGTTGTACAGATTGTTTCTGTATGTGCACAGGATCAGCTTTTGGCATCCTGGTTAGATTTGTGTGCTGGCAGTACCCACATAATGATATTCCTGATTATCTGGTAATCTTTAGTTGATGAGGTCAGAGTTAAAATTGATTGAACTTTGAGTGTCATGTTACTACACTTGACCTGTGTGAAAGGTGTTGCCCACTGTAGCTGGATAATTTCTAGAGTACATCATTTTTCCGATGGAACAAAGGTGTAAAGTCGGTAGTATTTTGCATATGTGTAGACGAAATGTAGGCAGTCAGATCTGCACAAGTTTTCTCTGTTCCTTTTACTTGCACTTATCCTGTCTATGTTCCTCCATCTAGATGAAATGGTGAGGCAGTATTTCATCAAAGCCTTGCACCCTCATTAGGAGTTGAGTGAAGATTATTAGATCTGGTAGTATCAGATGAGTCATAGTCGCTCATTAGATTTTAATGAAGTCATGTGCACAGAGAACAAGGAGAAAGAACAGAAAATGAATGATAGAGAGAGAGAGAGAGAGACAGTAAGAGAGTGGAAAGCTCATCAAATATATGACATCATTGTTACTACATAAAAACTGCATTGAAAATGTATGGTAATTGCAGTTATTATTTTCAATTTACAAATTTTAAGTCATTATTAAATAAACAATTTACTGTTGTACAAGCTTGCAACAGTGGCATGCCAAGTAATTGACTACAAATGCACAATGCCTTTCGTCTTACTGAATGTATTGTTTGGGGACATTATTTATTAATTGAAAACTGATTGATTTGTGAAAACATAAAGCAAAAAGAAAAGCATTTATTTGAAATAACGTGGACTGATGAATTATGCACCATAAGACCAGGAATGTATCTTAAAGTAATTTTTTTAGTTTTTTTAAGCACATACTGCCTTGTTCATCCAAGCACTCAGCATTGCATTGAAGCATTTGTTGACAC